AAGAAACTCCCAAGCCTTATCTCGACTCATTGTCGAGGATCATCTCGAAAATAAACTTTCGTGCGCGACGCAACGCCTCACGCCAAGTGTCCTAATAGCGTTAATGTGACCAACAATTTGAAAGGTTCAAATACCTTCGAATACCGTTAGTTTCGCGAGGAACAAACAAATGATCGTACGGTTTCTTAATGAAGACGGACGCGCGTTGTCTTGAGACCGGTGATTTCACTCTTTTCAGTCGACTGAGATCTACAATTTATCATTGCAATGATTAGACTCGCGTGATCTGTGACCTGTGACGGATATATATTCGCGCACAGTAATGATACGTTGAAGGATTATTGTGAGAAAAAGTGAAATTTCTGTAAATCACGCTGTGTGCGTGTGGAACACATTATATTTTCATTTGAGCCTTCCGCTATTGCTATAGGTAGACGGTAAAAAACATTAGAATAATTTATGCGTAGAAGCTGGTCACACAAATTACTCTCTGATGACTAAATCAACAAATTAACGACGATTTGAAACACGACTTTTTTCATGTTTGCCTTGTTATCGTATTTATGTCTCTACGAGGTCGACCATGTGTGATTAATCTATCGGTTTTTACTTGTTCCGTCATCATTCATTAAAGCCGCCGAAATTCTTAAAGCCAAGCGATTTATGAATATTATATTATGAATATTTATTCATAATATAATATTCATAAATCATGTCATTGTGCAATTTGTTGTTAATCTTTTGAGTGAATTTTTATAAAATTAATGGTACATATTGTATATATATGCAATATAACATCATTAATATCAAAAGAGAAAGAACTAATGAGGACCAAGAGATGCTGATTTCAATATATATTTTCACTTTCTATTTTATTAAAATATTTTTCGAGAAATGATTCTGAATAGAAGATCACGAAATTCTGCGGTAATTGAGTGACGTGGATTCGTATCCGAGATTAAAAAATAATACGCGCTAAATGGAAATCCACATTGACGGACAGAGAAAGTCAGCGACTAGATAACTTTTTCATCATCCTTCGCGGCGTGTCGTTGTCGCAGAGACAGCTGAAATCAGCGGTCAACAAGAAAGTAGACGAACGCGCGCGTACGTACACATTATTTGACAACGCGATGAGCCGGTTTTCTAAACCGGGAGAAAATCGTGAATGCAGATGTACGAGAGTTATTACGGTGACGTATAATTTAATATCGACCGAGATATCGATCAATCAATTCACTCAGAGAATCTATATTCAGACTATTTTTTTCGACGTTAAAATTGTGCTTTTATTAAATTTTACTTGTAGATCTCACTACTACCTAGCGTGTTTTTAAATATCTCAAATGCTTCAAAGAGATCGCGTAAATTTAATGAAAGATTCTTTTTTCTCATTAAATTCAGACATTCGTACGGACTTGTACGTAACGTATAAAATGATCGTTATATTGATACTTGAGCGCAATGATCGACTCGCTCATAAATTATCCCTTCGTGGACGGTCTCACAGAAAAAAAAATAGTTTCTACCACAGCTAAGTACGGTTTGCTGAACTAAATTTGCTGCTGTAGCTATAAAATTTCCTGTTACATAGAAACAGTTTGCTGATATTCCTAAATATTTCGACATAATAGCAAAATATGTAGATCTTGTAGCTAAAAAGCTTAGGTGTCCATAATTCTACTAAAATTTAGGAACCACACCTAATTTTGGTAGAATTATGGACACCTAAGCTTTTTAGCTACAAGATCTACATTTTTGCTATTATGTCGAAATATTTAGAAATATCAGCAAACTGTTTCTATGTAACAGGAAATTTTATAGCTACAGCAGCAAATTTAGTTCAGCAAACCGTACTTAGCTGTGGTAGAAACTATTTTTTTTTCCGTGCTGTAAGACTTACATGACTTTACAATCAAACATCTCTGCAAAAAATCAATATTTTTCTAATTTTTTTAATTAAAAAACAATTTTTGAACAATTCTGCAATTAAAAAAATTAAAAAAACAAATTAAAAAATCTCCAGTAATTTCGAAAATACAAGCGTTTAAAAAAACTAATTCCAACTAAAGATACCTGGTTGAAATTTTTGAGTGGGAGACCCATATCAATCCACGAAGAGTTACTTTATCACAAAGATATACAGCTGGTATTATAGGTATGCTAAACAATTATGATATGAAGAAATAATTGCCAAATACATTAAGACTATTGCTTTTATTAGCGCTTTTGCCGTCCAGGAATTGACATTCTACTGTACTGCGATCTGTTCAATAAATAGCCTACTCGATATTTCGTGAATGTCTCTATTCTTCACGGTTATTCACGTACAACGACCTCCGCGTTTAGACAATATCCCGAGAAAAAAATATTACGCTCTGAAGGATCATCGAGAGATGCCGAAGGAAAAGTACAATGAACGTGAAAGGACGACAGTCACGGCTTCTTTCACGACCACATCAAAGCCAACAAATAATCAGCTGAATCCTCGATTTGCTTTAGCTGATTCTACCAGCGCGGTCGTCCTCCCGTCTCTACCTAACCTATTCGCGCATTACGGTTTGCTAGGATTTCCGGTGTTGTGGTATAAAGAACGGGAAGCGACGCGTTTCCTCCACCTGTGTTCCGCATGTAGGACAAAATTGCACGCCGCTTACTCGAAAAAAAAAAAAGTTTTTATCAACGCGTATCGTGAATCTAAATAAAACTTATGTGCCATAAGTATCTCTCATAAACAAATATATTATCATATTGTATACGCACAATATCTAGATATTATTATTATCGCAAAACAACTTAAACTCAGAAAAAAACAATGAATCGTAAGAGGCCACTGCGAACATCAAAGCACACTATTACTTCAGTGTGAATTTTTACACAGATTAAATTGATTGAAAAAGTATTCTTTTAGAATATCAGTTTGCAAATAAATTTATTGAAATAAATTTCTTTTTAAAATGGATTAGAAGACTACAAGTTATATACAAGATATTGATGTATTTGATTTATTTTGAAACTTAAAATTTCTTAACAATTAAATTTTATTATAGCTCGTTGAAAATTGGTAAGAAATATATAAGGTGTACGAGCCATATCGCAGGATTTTTTACGCGGAAGGGGTTTTTTTGCAATATTTTAAATTAATTTAGGGGAGTATTCAGGGTTCTTCATATGCAAATTTAGCATCCTATGATTTGTAGAATTGAAACTTCAATTCAAAAACGTAACTTGTAAAAATTTACTTGTGACCACGTATATACATATATTCATATACAGTCAAACCTTGATAACTCGAATCTCTATAACTCGAAAATCTCTATAAGACGAAAATTTTGTTCATTTCCTTCCGCTCCGCGGAAAGAAAAAACACACTTCGATAAGTCGAAATTTCTACAACTCAAAGATTTTAGCTCTTCCCTTGAGATTCGAGTTATCGAGGTTCGACTGTATATATACATGCAGATTTCCGCATAAAAAATCCTGCAATATGGCTCTCGTATACACTTTATATATTTCTTAAAATTTCTTTTTTTTTTAATCGCGTAAAAATATATTTCACCTATCAATTAATAACATCATGATATCCGATGTTTAAAAATAAAAGAAGATAAAAGTATCTGTTTATAAAACCTGTATCAAAAACAACGCATGTGTACACATTTTTTCTCAGATATATTATCGTACACACAGAAAAATGTCATTCTATTACCTAAGAAAAAGAATTACTCAATTTATTTCCTTTCTTTTAAGTAATAGTTAACTTCAGAAAAGAATATTTTCTTGATAATAGTCTTATCTCTCTAATGTACTCATTACAACTTTTTAAAAAGTTTAAGTATTACGCACTCAAAAGAATGTATTTTCTTTTCAAGAATATTAGAAAAGTATTGACGAATCTCTTACGTTAGTAATATGTCGATTATTTTATAAAAATAACTTCTCTTATTAAATTTTACAACTTGATCGTCATACAGTAGTAATGTTAATTTAAGAATTTCCACTAAAGATGACTTAAAAGAATAAAGGTCGAAAATTTTAGAGTAATCATTTCTTATTAAAACTTCTTGCACAACACTCCCTGCACCCGGTTCGAACGGTCTATCTCACACACATTATCTTGAAATAATATAAACCTATATTGAAAAACAAGAATGCATGTAACACGAATTTTTCTTTTAAGTTAATATTCGTGATTAAAGTATTAAAGTATAAGCTTATTACTAAAAATTTAGAATGTATTTTGAACAAATTAAATGTTTATGATATATTTGTGGATATATAAACTTATTATATACTTGATACAAGTGATATTTACTTGGTATTTTGCTGTGTGTATTTTTAGATAACGCAAGAAAGTGTGTTGTGTTTTTTTTTTAAATATATTTACACAGTTCTATATCTAAATGTAAAATCGCAAGAAAGCCCTATTTGCATCGGGATGGCGCGGACGACTTTCTAAATTTGTATCAAATACTAGGAGCGTCACTTTCACCGACCGATCATAAATTCCGCGTCACCGCAACGTGTAGTTAGATTCTTCAGTCAAAACTGCAATTGAATCATAAAACTCGGAAAGTTCTAAAATAAGCCGATAAACTCTATGGAAACCGAACACATATTATCTCGATGCTTATGTCACATAGGTTGAATTCTACAATAGCGGAATATTTTGAAAAGGAAGCACCGCGTAATATCGATCATCGCGGAAACTCCTAAAACCGCCGCATGTAGGTACACGCGTCCGGCTCTAAAATTTCATGCGTCCAGTCAAATATTGACACATGTTAATAATTCAATTAAATATCACGAGAATCTGCGAATGTTCTGGAATATTTGCAAAATTATAGTTCGCTGATGTTTTCACAATCCAATCTTTAATACGTCGCATCTTACATAAAGTGCATTGCTTTAAAGAATCTACGATTTACGAATCTAGGATTTTATCTCTAAATGCAAATGTATATATTAAATAATTTTTTTAATCATACATTGCACTTTACCTTTTGTCTTTCCATCGAGTTTTCGAAGAATCAGCGAATCCCAAAATTGTCTTTCGCCGTCGGTTTCCTCTACAGTTATAACACACAAATAATTCAGAAACAAAGCGACTGACTCCAAAAAATCTCAATAACTCTTGATCCGGCAAAGTGATGGCACATTGACGCTTGGAGTGTAACTATGCCATTTGAAAAGCGAAAAGCGCACAACAAAGAGCAGCTGAAAAAACAAACTTATTTATATATCGACTCTACGAGATGTCTCGTGACAAGTAGACATCACGAAGGAATAGCTTATTTTACATATCACGATTAGCGAAATTATTTTGCAAACGCTCCGTTATAAATCAACTCCAATTTTAATAGAGTCTATTATGTAACATGCCAAAATAACATGCGAAACACTTGAGCGTTGCTTGTGCTAATGGAAACATGGTCGCACGACGTCGGGCAACTAAAATCTCTCTCATGCAGAGAGAGAAAAAGAGAAAGAGAGAGAGAGAGAGAGAGAGATTGTCCGTCTCTGTATCGTTAATTATATTAACTACGTAATAACTACTGCGATATCAGTGATCCAAAGTCATTGGTAAAATCAACTAAGACGGCGCATACAAGATCGACACAGTACATGGTTTTTTTCAGGTAATTTTCCACAATATAATTTATATATTTTTTTATTTAATTTCATAAACGACTTGACAGACGAATAATCCGAATGTATTAAATGTTCGCGCAAGTTTCATGTCAGTGTTAGCGGACTTTAGTCTTAAACAACCGTTTTTACAGCGTAATTATTGCGAGAAAAATTACGAATCGGTTAATCAGGCTTGCAAACAGGCTTAACTCGTCGGACTGTTGATGCAATCTGAGTTGTTGCAGTTAGAAAAATGATGTCATTTATATCCGAAAGAGATACCCAGTTCGTTACTTTCTGTTTGTGTATACATCTTTGTACACACTTTATTAAATAATCGAGAACTTCCAACCAACAATCGCGGGTTCTCTCTCTCTTCTAAGGTAATCATTATATTTACAGAGAAAATAGTTTGCGTCACAATACGAGATCTACTTTACTTCTTGCAAAGAAGCAAGTCGGCGTGAAACTAGTCAAAACTGCTTACGTTCTTGCGACAAAGGTAGAAAAATTTATGAAACTTAAATGCCTAAAAAACGTAAAAGTCATTGTCTAAATAACTTTGTAAATCGTGTCGCTAACCTAAACCCTAAACCTAAACGATCTTTATTAACGGTTACATATTATTATATAAAATCGTGTCGCTTTTCTCGGATTGTCATATAATACGGGACACGACGTTGAATTAAAAGTGGATTTGGGTCAGATGTGGAGAGCAGCGGACTAAGTCAAGAATTACGTATCTCTCACGTTACGATCTCTTCCCGGAACGCGAATATGCTCGTGTTCGCTCGGTTCGTCCGTCTGCACGCCTTTCTAATTCCATCGTGAGATTCTCGTGATACATCGTTATCGCCTACCTGTGAGAGAGGTTTCCTGCGTCGAGTAATATCCACAGACAGGAAGGAATCCTCAAGAAGATGCGGCACGCGAGGCGAGAACTAATGGCGGTAGTGGTTCGTCAGAGGACCGGAGTTCGTGGCGCTTGTCAAAACCAACTTATCGATCGCACTTTGCCGTACGTTACGGGGATGAAACTCGCACGATCTCGAGAAAGTATCACTGCTCGAGACTGCGTTGTGTTGGTCGCGAAGAATCCGAGGCGCACGGAAGATCAGTACGCTCCGTAAATGCGAGCGTGCGCGAGAAAGAAAGAAAAACAGACAGAGATAGAGAAAGAGGGAGAGAGAGAAAGAAAGAGACAGAGAAAAGGACGCGAAGAGACAACCGACAGACAAATCACGAGAACCGACCGGGCCGGTTTACTACGAAGAACTGAACTAGGTAGAGTTGTTTGGTCCGCGGCCATAGGATCGGCCGTTTACGTCGCGGCTCGGCACGACTCGGCGTCGTGTCGTATGTTCGGCGTAGCTTGCGCTCGGGCCGTGTCGGCCGTACTCGGGAGGCTACCTCGGACGCGGCAACCTCGACGAACTTTCGTACGCAGGTCGAGGCCGGACAAGGAGCCTTCCCGCAGCTTTTCGTTCTTACGGCCGGCCGTTACATGCGTTTACTTCTCGCGCGACCTATCTTCGTTAAACTCTGCATAATTCGTCACTTCCTAAATGAAGCTGCAGACAAACGAATATAAATAGCGTCATTATTCCCGCGAAGAAAACGAAGAAGCGAGAGAACATCGAAGAGATGAGCGCAGAGAGCGGTTTTTCTCGCGCGCGAGAGAATTTTGAGAAACGCTAAAAAACACAGCTTGCAAGAAAAAATTTTAAGTTTATATATAAAAAAGAGAGAGACAACAAACGACAACAAACAGATCTTTACTGAAGTTAATTTGTCGTGTACTGATACGTACTTGCTTTGCTGAAACCTATTGAAAAAGTTCGACTATCTAATAAGTTGTATCATTCACTCTTTTTTCCTAATTTTGAGTATGTATATTAATTATCAATGTTTCGAGTAGATAACGAATGTAGATAACGAAAGGACTTGTACTTCAAATACAAACCAAGAAAGTGGTCGCTGCGTTCTCCTGTTCTCTCTCATCATATGATCTGAGAATCCTTTGTTTCAGATACCGGCTCTCGTCCTTCTTTAGACGTATGCGCGACACGCATCTCTCCCTTCCCTTTGGACTAGAGACGAAGAACGCCGAGGGCAAGGTTCGTTTCGAAAAGGAAAAACGCACAAAGAATAATAAAATATTAATTCAGAGATAAATTCCGTGTTTTTTTCTGAAAATATTACATAATTAAAAATACTTGAAAAATCCAAGTTTTTATAATAAATTCTTCAAGTACTCCAATAGACATTTGTAAAAATATTGTATAATGGCATCATAAGATGAACAATTTTGTAATGATTGCACTAAGATAATTTGCCATAACGCAACAATTTTGTCAAAATAAAATTTTGTAAATAATATTCGTCAAAAATTACAAAAATCCAATTTAAGATATAAATATTTTATAATATTTCACTTCTTTGATGCATAAAATTATACAATTTAATATTTGTGACAATGTAATGCAGCAAAACCATTTGCAATATTTTTAACATTTTTGAATAAAATATTTATATTCTAATTAATTTAATTTTTATATTCTAAATTAATTTAATTTTTGTTAATTAATAATAATGATAAAGGATTTCACTTTTTACGATCTCAAAACTCTGGTCAAGACGTAAACAAAAAACGTTAACTGATTATTTTAAAATATTCAACAAGCATTATTGAAAGCTCAGTTCACATGCATCTCATAGAAACTGTTTTGATTCTTGATTTTGCTGCATCAATGTGCAATATTTTATGTCGCAATATTTCTACTTTATAATTTATAGGAGTCATTGTGCATTTCTATAAGCACATACATGAATTAATTTGATTTCTTCATGTGCAATTATATTTCTACATGTTTCAACCATCACATAGCTGAAATTTTTTTCTCAATTATTCGGCAATTTTTTTTTAATTTTGCAAATATACTGCTAAGATGATTCGCCATATCGTTATTGTTTTGCCGAAATAGTATTTGAAAATTAATTTTGCAAACAGTTATAAATATTTTATAAAAGACCAATATTTTTACATCTATTTCTCAAAATATATCTATATAATTGCAAATCACAATTTTCATGCAAGATTTAGTCACACAAATTTATATTAATAAATATTAATAAATATTTTCCTATCGGGATAATAAAACAGGTAAAAAATTCTTTTGCTATTATATGTTATATGACATATATTGGTAATGTTAAATTAAGAAAAACTTAATGTTGGACTAATTACGTAAGTATGAAAAAAAAGATTTTTTACTTTTTATGCAAAGCGAATTGTTTGTCATTTGTTTTTTATATAAAACTTTTTGATATAAAATACGCATTCAATGATAATATTTTGGTCTATTAGCTTGTTATGACACAAGATAGGGGATTAAATAGCCACAATTTTATACTTTAAAACATTCAGTATTTTTCACTATTTTATGTTCTCTATTTTGCGGCGCACTTTGTTTGTTGAATAAAATTGTATTTCTATTAAATAATTGTAAACAATATAAGTATTTAGAAATTTCTAGTTATTAATAAGTATAAATATATCTTTACATATTTTTACATGTACTTAGACGTGTATGTATGACGCTAATTTCATTTTTCAATTCAAATATAATCATAGAAGTATTTATAATGTATGGGATAAAATTATAGGAAAAAATTAACAAATAAAAATTTATAAAATAATTGCAATTGTAGTTTTGTCAAATGCACTAGTGATACTAGAATATTTTTGTATCTTGTTTGCTGTGTGTTTGTATCTCTTCCGTCATTCCATTTTATGCTAGACAGTTCTACTATTTCTCTTCTACTGATCATTTGTTTGTCTTTATATGTTCTGAAAGGTAGAGTAAGCGAAACGTCATTATGTTACTTTGGCGTCTTGTATCTTTTACCTGACACTGTGCGCGATTCCGTGTCTCTTGATCTTGTATAACAGTTCCTAATACAGTCAAACCTCGATAACTCGAATCTCAAGAGAAGAGCTAAAATCTTCGAGTTGTAGAGGTTTCGACTTATCGAAGCGTCTTTTTCCTTTCCGCGGAGCGGAAGGGAATGAACAAAATTTTCGTCTTATAGAGGTTTTGGAGTTATAGAGGTTATATATATATATATATATATACAGCCTAATAATATTATATGTAAAAAACAAATATTCTGATATATTAAAAACTGATACAAAAAAACATAGAAAAAGAGAGAGAGAAAGAGAGAGCGATGTGCTCCAGAATTTGCGCAAAATAGAATGTGTTGTATTCATGCTACCAAATATTCTATTATAATATTAACCTTTTCGCTCCGGGGATTTTTCCTTTAAAATTGACCTCGCATTTTAGCTGAAAAAATTAATAATAACCTGCTACCCCCCCTTCAAAGTTAATTTTGAAGGTCAAAGAAGTAACCAGGATTTTTTTCAATTTTTTTCCTAAATTTAGTGCATTAAATTGACCTTATAAACATCTATTACGTTCGCTTTTCTTGCTGGTCCATATATGGACCAGTCCCGGAGCGAAAAGGTTAATATTCTCTCTTTTCTCTTATTATATTAATATATTCTATTATAATATTAATATTTTTTTATCGGTGTAATAAACTAAATGTGAATTATTCTTGTATATTTTTAATGTATTTTTAATCAATAGCGTGCGCGAGTGTGTCTATTATATTTACTTAGTTTCTAAATATTAACACCCTTTCAGTACGGCAAAGTCTAATGCAGAGCGCGCGTAATAGATCGGTTGTAACCGATGTTACAGACGGTGAAACTTTTCGATGGCGCGTATTCTGTAGAAAGTATAAAAATCATATAAAAGTTTTCGAAATATTGAATTGCATTGCATTAATATAAAAATATATGAATATCGACAATAAAAGCGCGTCTAGCGCCATTTAAGCAATATTGATTGAACGCCTGAAGGCGCCTGAATAGCTCAAATGACAAGACTTGGTTAAACATCAATAGGCGCCAATAGCAATGAGAGGGTTAATACTACAAGTCGGTTTTGTCTATGTATAACGTATGGAAGTGAAAGTCATGAATGTAAGAGGTTGTATACTTGAATGTGACTCGGTAATATATATGTGTATAAAGTGCGTTACAAGTGTTTTTTTAAAGACAAAATATAAAAACGATAATAAATATTGGTAATATGTAGAGAAATATATAGATAGAAACGTGCGTTGAATTTGCAACACGTAAATAATTGTTTTATGTAATTTCGCGAAACATTAATAAATACGCAAAAAGATCTCACGCACACACATATATTCTGTAGCATACATTCAAGTTAGTGTAAAAATAAAAACTTTGTTTAAAAAAACAGTAATATCTTAATTTATTAATTGTAACTGATTAGCAAAAATTATTTATGATATATCTTTCAGCTCGTGAAAATCTACAAATGAAAAGTAGGGCCAATACGAGCTCTAAACATGATGTCCGTGTTTTAATGATTTGTTAAATTTTGACGTCAAACGTTTCGATCCGTATTATGATCTTTTTCAGTGACTATCTCAATAAAAATAAAGGAAGGAAGAATTCAGTCTCAATCATCTGTGCATAGTTGTTGAACAAAACACTCGGTGTCAACGACTACTCTTATAAACTACATTTTTCTGTTGTTTGCATTCAATCGGATCTTTGATAGTTTTAATAAATTTGTTCAATTTATTGAGACTTATTACGCTAACAAAGTTTCCTCTCTGTTCTTCAATGATTTGGAAATTGTTTGTAAAATTTTAATTATAAAAGGTACAACAAAAAAGTTTTTACACTTTTAGAAGTTAATGAGGATACCGGATTTTCTGATTTTTCAATGAGTGCATCAATTTTGTTGATAATTAAATATTTTAAGGGATTATTTATAACTTTAAAAATTAAATCTAACGGATAATTGTTAGAGATGAGTATTTTGATTATAAATTTTAAGTTCTTTTCTTGAAACACAGGATGAGATACAACAAAGTTCTGTCTATCATTCCAATGATAGTCCTATTTTTTAAGAAATTGGGTCTGAAGATAGTTCAAATACCTACCCGGGAAGATAGACGTGTAAAATCAATCGTAGAAAGTCGTTGACATCGAGTTTTCTGTTCAACAACTATACAGCTAATTGGAACTGAGTTCTTCCTTCCTTCATTTTTATCGAAATAGTCACTGAAAAAAATTCTAATACAAATCGAAACGTTTGATGTCAAAATTTAACAAATCATTAAAACACGGACACCTTGTTTACTGCTCG